GGGAGAGTGGTTGGGGAGCGGTTGGGGAGTGGTTGGGGAGAGCGGTTTGGACAATGGATGGAAGAGTGTTTGGGAGAGTGGATGGAAGAGTGGTTCGGATAGTGGATGGAAGAGTCGTTGCGAGAGCGCATGGGTGAATGTGGTTGCCAGAGTGGATGGAAGAGTCGTTGCGAGGGCGCATGGGTGAATGTGGTTGGCAGAGTGGTTGGGAGAGAGGTTGGGAAAGCGGATGGAGGAGTGGTTGGGAATTCCGATGGGACAGTGGTTGGAAGAGTGGATGGGTGAATGGCCTCAGTGCATGTAGTGGCGTGCTTGCGGCATGTCGTTGCAGCTCAGGTGGGACGAGGATTTTCAGTAGAAGGCTACTAAAAGAAAATAAAATATGCCGTCGAATGGTACCTGAGGCCGGCATTTTTGTTTCCGTTCAAGAATGGTTTTATGTTCCGAGGAGTCAGAGGAGAGGAGGGTGGGCCGTAAAGGATAGTCCCAAGGTCCACGAAGAGGGTGGTGAGGTCTATAAAGAGGATGGACCGGAGGTGTTAAACATAGCGTGTTCTTCAAGGGAACTGACCTGCAATGATTATTGACCCCCTTTCTCTGTCCATTTGTTATCTTCCATGGGGTGCGAAGGCCGAGCAATGTATCGTTGTTGTTTGAGCAAGAGGAGGGGTGAACTCCCTAAGGGGTGGGGACTCTACAATTCACAGGCCAACACTACGCCAGAGAGGGCTCTGCGCCTGCGGGGCTCAAAAAGCCGTCGTTATCAAGACCTTTTTTTTCTTAATCGTTTTCGAGACCTGCTCTTTGTGCTGTCAAGAAAGGAGGGATGGGGAAGAGAGATTACCTTATTACCTTTTCCGCTGTTTGCAATCGGCGCACGATTCTCAAATCGAGCCCCGGAAAGAGGAGGGAAGAATGGCAGGGCACTTGCTGAAATGGCAGGTTGATTTTTTTTCCTTGCCTTTGACTGGCGAACGAACTATGCTCTGGCATTTGTGATCCAGGGCGGTGACTGTGGATGGGCCCTGACTAGTAACAAGAGTCAACATAGTTGAAGTCTCATTCGCCTTTTGACCCGCGAACGAACTATGCTCCGGCATTTGTGATCCAGGGCGGTGACGGTGGACCCTGCAAGTCTCAAATGGAGGCTGGGAAGGAGGAAGAGGAAAGAACCGAAGAGAACTCGGTGAATGGAGGATTCGTTCTCATTCTCTCCACTTGACCGGTAAACCATACTCTGCCTTTGATGCCGGTAGTGGAATATAGCCTCTGCCTTTGATGCTTTAGGCAGCGTCTGTTATTGGGATGCGGCATCCGTTAGGTTCTCGGAGCTGCTATTAACAAGAGTCGACATAGTTGAAGTCTCGAGTAAGAGGATCGCCTGGATGTCTTCTCACAGATAGGACACGAATCAGTGCTGTCATTTGGAATGTATAGAGGGAAGGAGTCGGCCGGTTCACCATCGAACCCTTGGATCACCTTGCCCTGGCGCCGGTCTCCAGAGGAAGATGGTTTATTGTGGTCTTGGTGTTTTTTTTTGTTTTTTTTTTTCGTGGTCTTTTTTCTACATGTATATAGATAGGTATGCAGTTGGATGGAAGGGTCAGTAAAGACACTGATGCCGCTGACTCGTGTCGTCGTTGTTGGTTTTACTGTTTTTGTATTCTCGTGGAGTGGTTCACGGAATCTGGCTGCCATTTGAGGAAATATTATTTTGGTGGATGGCAAATGCGGCCGACTGATTGGTCACTGTTCCATCAGGTTCCACACTTCGTCGTGTTAATGCTCGAGTGTCCCAACCATGTGCTGGTCGGCTGATGGGCTCTTTCTCGGGCCTCTCGGCACGCTTCAGAAGTGGGTCTATCAAAGCCAGCTAAGCTTCAGAAATGCAGGTGTTTGCATTCTGAAAATAAATGAAAAAACACCTCCCTCCTCCTCCCCTCTCCTTTCTGGGTAGAAGAGAGAGCCAAGGTAGGTCCTCATTGACACCACGATTCTTCTAAGGGGATGCATGCATAAATGTTGGTGTTTGCATGCAAAACAACCCCCCTCCCCTCCTCCCCCCTCCCCTCCCCTTCCCTTTCTGGCCAGAAGAAAACTGTGGTTAGTTCTGCTCGACGGATTATGAGCGCGTTTGCAAGAGGATGCATTTCAGGTTTCAAGGTTTGCCATCTGAACGCACGGGGATTTGCATTCTCAGTTTCCAGTTCAGCATTTGCGAGTCCGAATACGCTGCTTACCTGTTCCAAGCTCTCAACTCTGACGAGTCTGGACGGGTGTCAAGGAGACAGATATATAAGCCAGCTGGTTTCTTTGGTGTTATGTCAACGAAGCAAAACAGCAGACGTGAAAACCCTGAAGTCAAAACAGCAGCGAGTTTCTCTTCGAGTATAAACACTGAGCAGTCGAACTTCTCAGAGCCATTGACAGAGAGGAAGGCGAGGTTTTTTTTTCTTGTTTTTTTTTTTTTTAAGGGGAAGGCAATTTTATGCCTGGCTGCAGTGTCTGGGGTCAAAACTTCTCAGGGTGGACTTACGACGGGGGCGGGAGCGCGCACCAGAGGTCTAGCACTCTGAGTGTCAGTTCCTCTTCAGCCTTACAGTAGGAGGGGGTTTCTCTGTCTGCGACATGGTGCAAGCAACTTGCAGCTTTGAGGTCATGGCGGACAAGTCTAGATGTCAGATGTTTCGGATATTGGCATCGATCGAACGATCCATGGTGGTTCGAACTTTGAAGCTTTGCTGCGTATCCAGTGGTGACAGCTCCAAGCTGTGGCTATGGCAGAAAGAAACCTGTGGCTGTGGTGCAAATGATGCATGCATGCATGCGTTTTCTGCACGAACATGTGAACTTGAACTTCCACTAAGGTATGGTTGCTATGGGCTGATCAGATGGACTGTCAGAGAGACGACCAGATCCGACGAACTGACTTGTGCCCATGTCCGACAGATTGACAGATGGTCCGATCACATGGGCTGATAATTGGCCACGTCAGGCAGACTGACAGATATAGTCAGCCTTTCAAAGAGAGATGTGGACAAAAGCACCTTTGGGGGGGAGAGTTTTGAGCGTTTGGTTTTCATCACCGAGTGCCCTCGACTTCTTCCTTGCTTCACTGAGTGCCGCTTCCTTGGTTCGGCACCACCCATCGTGGCTCTGGTATTGTTTCACAGCAGCAAGGTTGCTGGTTCAAATCACCGTAATGGTTCTGTATGTGGAGCCCCTTAGAACAATATATGCACGTTCTCAGTTGTAAACGTCAGTCCCGGGGCACCTTAGAACAAAATATGTGTCTTTGTCTGCGGCAAAGATTGTTTGCGTGTGTTTTCTTTTGTGTGTGTGTTTTCCATCTTATGTTTTTGTAACAATAGCACGACGACGGTTCTGTTTATGAAAGTGTATGTTCTGGCATGCCGAGGATCTTATGAGAATGTGCATTGATCGTTTTTTCCTTCTTTAACATCTATCTTCACGAAGAGGGTTTTCAGCGAGTTCGGTTTTTTGGACGTTTTCCACAATATGTCTATGTCTACACCCAGAGCTTTAGAAAGTTTTTTTTAAGTAGTCTGTGTTGCCTATGTTGTCTCATGTCTGACTGTGAAAGAGCAAGACGCTGAAACTTCATCTGAACTTACATAGTGCTAGTGATGAGTTAGGCGTCGGTAGAGGCAGTCTTCCTTGGACCCCCGGCGTGATTGAATTGGGACCCAAAGTTGGTTCTTGGGATCAGAATATGGGGCTTCATTTGTGCGACTCCATTGGGGCCTAAATTGGGTCTTCCAGGGACGAAGAACAAAGGATCCATTTGCTTGGGAGTCGGGACAGAAAAGGTCGAATTTGAAATTTGGTCAATGAAAGGCATTCCACGATGCAGACCCCAAATTCAAATTTCAGGGTCAAAGTCTCAGGCCAAGAGAGGCCAAGTTGATATAAGGACTGGCCAGCCGCATCTCAGGGAGACTGCTCATTCGTGAGAAGTGTGGAAGTGCTGCTGATGCGCTTGTTCGCTATTTGCAAGTAGCATGCGTGAGAGTCCTGCTCGGCAGCATTGAGCTACGGAAGGGAGGCTGCCATAGCCGCATAGCTAGAAGTAGGACATAGGGCCTGTAGATAGCGGATGTATTCGAAGTTAAGATCCTCAAGTATAGAGGGAGGGCGAGACAGTAGAGGGAGAGAGTGAGCACATGCATGAAGAAGACAGAGAGAGAAAGAGGGGGGGACAAAGAGAGAAGAGAATCACTACCTTGGATGAAGTTGCTGGAATTGGGTTGTTGAACTCTGCGATGATGAGCGCTGGTGACTGGAACTCTGTAACTGCTTAATACAATGATTTGTTGGAAATCCTAAGCTGCGTTTATTTGGACTTTGCATCTCTGGTCTCCAGTGTGGACTTCGTGTGATCTCTCATTGTGTGTGTGTGCTCAAGGTGACAAGCAGTGAGGCTCAATGCAATTGGTATGAGAGCCGGTACTCGTTACATCAGGTGGTGACGAACGCTGGCAAGATTAAGTCCGGAGAGAGGAGGTTGGGAGTTTGACATAGGGGCTTCAGGCCGAAGAAGTGGCCAAATTGGGGGATGCTGATTATGTACATGCCAGGCGAGGAGCGTCGAGGAGCTTCATCGAGGGAGCGTTCATAAGTGAAGTGCATCGCCTCACTAAGCCCTGCATTTGCTTTTATGAATGCATAAGTGTCATGGTACCTTCCCACATCTTGGTGTCGCTGTTGCTGGACAAGAACACTCAATGGCGTATTTGAATTTGGTTTGAGTCAGCATCTGGTCAGACACATGTGCATGAAGTAGGTTGTGTTTATCACCCGAAAAGTAGAAAACATGGGCATGAGCGGCGAGCGCTCGTAAAACAACTCGTCTAACCCTAAGACCGGTACTGACCGACATGCGACCGAACCGGTGTTAACGCAGTGAGGAGCTGTAAGTCTTGAGAGCGAGCCTTCAAATCCTAGTGGGCACACCGTTCTGTCTGCATCGTTAAATAATTCTTGAGGTCCTTGCTGGCTGACCTTAAGCTGTTGGCTGCCCGTCAACTTGAAAAGGTAGTTGTAGGGACACTGTGGGAGGGAAGAACTCAGATAGGTTTGATCCAATCTAAGTGTTGAGGGTGAGGTCTACGTGGTGAGGAGGTGGAGCCTACTTGCCTGTGCCTTAGTGACCATGGATGACTACCCGATGTTCGCAATGTTGACTCTGTCCGTGTTATGGGGTCCCCTTCTTCGATTTCTGTTCAGGATTCCATCGTACATGCGGCATGAGTGTGACCATGAGGTCTGGTGGCGGACCACACAGCCATATACAACAGAACAGTGAGTTGATATTGGCAGGAAGTTGCTTGAGAAGAAGAAAGAAAAACAGGAAAGGAAAAAACGAAAGGAGGAAGAAGTTAAAAAAGAAATTGGAGGAGGAGAACGAACAGATGAGAAAAAGATGCGGAAAAGAGAAGAAGAGTTGAAGGAGTGAGAAGTTAAAGAAGAAGAGGAAGAAGAATGAGGAGGATTGGTGAGAAGACGAGTCCAACTAGAAGGAGAGGAGGTGGCGGAGAACAGTCATGCTGCGGAGTTGAGACTCTAGCAGGTTGAGAACTTGGACTGGGTGGGGAAATTTGGGTGTTGGACAGAGTTTCCAGAAGAAACTGACGAAGAGAGATTGATTTGTGGCGAAGTTGGCAGCAACTAAGAATCAGGAGGAAGGGAATTTGTTGATCGAGGAGAAGAAGAGTGAACTCAACCAAAAGTTGTTGGCCACGAAAAGAAAAAAAATTGATGAGAAAAAAAGGTTGAAGAAGGGGAGAGACTCCATGCGTTGTTGAAGGAGCAGAAAGGGAAACAAGTGGAAACTGAGGATTGTTGAAACCTTCTTACTGAGACTTTGTTGCATACCACCCAGGAACGATCTGCACTTCAAGGAGCCGTTGGGAAGAGAGAACGACTCGAGGAGTTTGAGGGCATCTGGAACAACTTCCTTAGTGTGCCAATCAGCCAAGTGGACCACAGGGTCCTACAATATGCACACCAACTATAAAATATGTCACTCAGAAATTGGTTAAAACCATCGCTGCAATTAAGATAGGTAGCGGTGACTGGGGTGGAGATGTTGGCGATGATGAGGAAGGTAATAAGAAAGGGAAAATATGAAAGTAAAACTCTTTTGGACATATAGTGGGGAGAGGGAAGAAAACATTTTTCATCGAAAGGTGATGCGGAACATGTACCTATACGCGCAGTTGATTCCGTATTGGGACTGTGTACTAATGGCAAGTTCGTGCATAGGGGGAAATGCAGCAAGCCATGTATAGGAACGTAGGAAGTTAGCACAAGTCTTCCTCCAACCGAAATGCCTCTCGGATTCGTGGCATTCCCCTAGGATAAGACTGTGAATCTGCTCGCTATTTGGTATGAATAGTCTACCGTGCACATCTATTTTCTCAAACAGTAGTCCTTGGGCCACTCTATGATCCGAAACTTTGTGAGGTGTCGTCTGCACCTTGTTCATTAACTGACCATAGACTGGATCACGAACATAGAGGGACCGAATATTTTCTTGCGACTCGATGCTTGCATCTAAGTACGTCACAATAGTACCATAAAACTCAGTCTGCCTACTTAGTGCGTCAACAACAACATTATGCTTCTTTTTTACTTGCTTAGTTCAAAGTCAAACTGATCAATTTCCTCAGCCCAGCTTATCAACTTAGGTGTCATTCTAGCTTGGGTTTTTAGCCAATGAAGTGGTTCATGGTTTGAATAAAATTTAAAATGTATTCATGGTCTGAATAAACTTTGAAATGGCGTCCTAGGAGATAATATTGCCAATAGTTCAAGGCTTCTCTAAGGGCAAACAACTCCTTCTCATGCGTAGAAGCGGAGACTTTCTCACTAGGCAGTCTACATGATAGGGACTCCACAAGTCTGTACCCATTGCCATCATTCTACTAGAGTACGACACCTATTGCGTATTGACTGGCGTCAATGGTCACTGTAAATAGTAGGGACGGATCGGCGATCTTAAGAACCGGATATTCTATCAAGCACTTCTTAAGACACTTAAAAGGCTGAAGTATAGTCTTTATCTCATTTCCAGACTTTCTTTCCTCGACAGCCTGCGCAACGGAGCAGCTATTATAGTAAAGTTTCGTACGAACATACAAAACTTGACGCTTGGCCCAATTACACTTCATCGAGTTCAACTTAAACTCAGCTTCTCACATTAATGCAAGTGCTGCTCGTCTTCCTATAGCGATTTGTTAAAAATCACGATATCATACAAATATACAATGGCGAGCTTGTCTAACCAATCATGGGAGAGTTCATTCATGCAATGCTGGAAAGTAGCAGGGGCGTTAATCAACCCAAACGGCTTGACCACAAACTTGTAGTGGCCATATCAAGTTCTAAAGGTCGTTTTGTGTTGGTGTTCAGGCAATACTTCGGTTTCATGGTAGCAAGATTTCAAGTCTATCTTCGAGATAAATTTGCAACCTTGCACTATATCCAAGAGATCGTCGATTTGTGGTAATGTCTCTACATTCTTTATGGTAACCACATTGAGTTCCCTATAGCCTATACATATGCACATATTGCCTTCTTTCTTCGGCACAAACAAGGCTGGCGCACCATACAGTGAAGAACTTAGCTTAATTCACCCTTCCTCTAGTAACTCGTCCAATTGTTTGCGCTTAATTCACCCTTCCTCTATTAACTCGTCCAATTGTTTGCGCAACTCATCAAGCTTTTTGGGAGACATCCTATAGATGGAGCCCTTGGGGATCTTACTACCGACATCTATATCTATCAGGTGTTTGGTTTCCCTTTCCACTGCTCCACTTGGGCCCTTTCCCATGTCAGTGAACTC